AAAATATGGAATAAGGTCATCGGACCATATGGAGAGAACAAAAAATCAACAAAAATGGGAAATTATTAATCGAATTCTATATAGGCAACAACTTGGCTATCATAAACACACAATACAAGATCACTAGAGAAGTGGGAATAATTAAACCTTGACTACATCAGTACAAAAAACAAAGATGAAGTGTATAAGAGATGTAAGAGCAAAATGGAGTTATGCAATACGCAGTGACCACTTCCTGCATGAAACAACATTCAACAATGGAAAAAACAATTAAAAGCAAAAAAAACATAGAGGGAAGACCCAAAGAGACAATTAGCCTGTATAAGCTAAGGGAAGAAATGACAAAAATGAGATACAAAGAAAAGCTGGAGATGGACATGGAAAATCAAAGAGAAATAATGCGTATGTACAGCTGAAGAACATGAATATGAAAAATTTATACACGCGATAATCAGAATAGCAAAACAACTATGTGGCACTACACGAAGTAACGGAAAAGGGAAATGGATAGCATGAAATGAAGAGTTAAAAGAGAAATAAAGAAAAAGAGGAAGCTAGGGAAGGAGTCCATACAAGGGAAAAATATGAAAATTACAAAAAATATAAAATGAAAATTAAGGAAATAGCAAAAAAATTGAAAAACAAATTTGGAGAAAAAAATGAAGGAAAACGGTAAAGAAAAAAAATTAACACATACAGTAGGTGATCAAATTATAATTAGTCAAAAAAAAGTTTTTCACATTTGTTCAAAAGTTTTATAGTAAAACCACAGAATATAACAATCAGGATGGCCACTCTCAGATGCCGCCTTTGAAGTGTGTCAGCACGCGATCATCATATTTGAAACGAAAACATAGACTCGCATCGAGAAATTTGTGACAAGCTACGACAGAACTGTAATTTAAATTTTTAGAGATTAATACTTTAGTAAATTTGAAATAATTTAATCTATTCTTCAACTAAAAGTACGAATAAAATCTTGCATTATTATGTCTATGGTTGCCATAACTAAATTAAAACGGGATAATTTTTCTATGCACGCCAGATAAAATTTAACTGAACAGCAGTGGTTCCGTTTAAAACATGGTTGATTCCGTCAGTGGTCTGTGAAAGAGATGCAAAGGCATGTAGATTTAATGTATTTTAAGAATTAAGAAATTTTGTACTTAAAGTTGTCATAGATACCTGTAAATTTCTCAATTAATGAGACAAAACGAATATTAAATTCTGGATTGTCTTCCATATTTAAATTTTTTAACAAATGCAAAATGCTAGTAGCACGTGGCAAAAAGTAGAACAAGCTCTATTTTAACGACGTGGCGTAGCATGACGCCACTGTCAGTCATTTTGGTGTGCGCTGAATCATTCGTTTGTATTGATTACATTTTAAGTAACATGCTATACATTGTCTCAAAGTGACTTGTCTGTACAGGGTAAATGCACAACATCGATGCCATACTTCTTTGCAAACTTGTATTAAAATAAACGCCACTTCTTACTACTTAGCCTAATCCATCTTTTGTGTTGAGGGTAGCTTAAGTACTAATGCCCACTAACGACCCTGTCTGGCTTCCTTCTGCCAATGGTTCCCAAACATAAATAATATTTGCTACAACATACTTGGGTTACATTAAAATAAAATAGAAATTAAGAAATGCCTTTTATTTATGTCACACAAGCAGTTTGTTTTTAATTATACAGTATAAGCTAGCGATACAAACCATTTGTTTATAGATTTACATAAAATCGAATAAAATAAAACTAAAATATAAAGAAACATTTTTATTGATGTATTGTTCCGTTCAAAAGTTAAGAGGGGAAGGACTTTTAAAAACCGCACTGTATATTTTGGCAATAACAAAACGTAGAAATATCAGAAAATAAAACTAATAAATAAATTGAAAATCTCTCCGTTATTTATATTTATAATAATTGGTTCGATATCATCCAACAAATTGTCAATTTCCCACATTTTTTTTCTGTTGCTATTACGTGGTTTACGTAGTTTTTCCATTTCTCTGGCGTAATGACCTGGTACGCTGCTGTAACTAAATTTCGCATTTCAGCTTCTTTAAAATTCGCGTTTCGTCCAGCTATATACCGTTTCACTTCACTTCAAACCATTTCGATGGGATTGAGTTCACAGTGATAGGCTGGGAGCCTCAGAATCTTCATATTGTGCTTTTTGGCAATATCCTCTATTATGTACCTGTCATATTTTGCTTTGAAGGCCTTGACTACATCAAGTAAGTCGCATTTTAGTTAGTCTTTTTTAAAAAAAGGTCCTTTGACAGAAGCCATTCTTGAATATCTTTTTTTCTAGTGTTGAACTGTTGGGAATTTGTTCTAACTTTCTGCTGTGATAAGAGGCATTGTCCATTACCACACCAGTTTTTTTCTGGCAAATTTAACATTAAGTTATTTTCGAACCAATCTTCGAAGGTCGGTCCATCCATTTGGTCGTGGTAGTTCTGAGTATTTTTCTTTGCCAAAAACGTGAGCTCTGCTCCATCAACAAATCCACTGATAGATCCTGCGTGCAATAAAACGAACCGTGCACTACGAGCTATTAGAGCTTTTAATCCTGTTGTCAGACCACGAACAAAAGCATCGCGATGAGATGTAATTGTTTTATCAACCCATTCTTTTTTTACACTGTGCCCGACATTTACCCATGATTCATCCAAATACACTATGTTGTATCCTTCTGCACGGTATTTACGAATTGCGCGTAAATAACGATGACGCCACGAGATGATTTCTGGTTTTTTAATCAAAATTGAATTTCTGCCACGTTTTATAAACACAAAATCCATATCACTCAGTGTTTGGGAAAGTATATACTATTTCTTTTTATATTTTTACATTTAATATTTTTCTTTTAGTGTACTATAATATTGCAATGTAATGTATTACAATATATTGCTACTTGTTATTTCGTAAAATTGTTAAATTGGCTACTAATATGGGTTTATGTTTTAAGTAAGGAGAATTTGACTTCTTTTGTTATTTTGTGTCGCCAATACACACAAGTGTAAAGTTTCGTATTACCGTGACAATTAACTTAAATTATCGCCACTCAAAATCGCAATACAATAGAGTCATTTATTGGTATACCCTCTTGGTATACAGACCACCACGTAACGGTTAGAGGGTTCTTTTCTGACCGTCTTAAGTCCCAAGGCACTTCATCTCAAGGCAGCGAATGAAACGGACCTAGTTTTATCGGTTCTCGTGTTGTCGAGCCTCGGCGTCCCGACATGGTACCAACGAGATTCCACTGGCTAAGAATCTTATGACATCAATATTTCAAAAGGTGAGTCTATATTCTTTGTACATACAACAATAATGAGTAAGGCTAGTTAATATCATAATTTATTCACAATTGATAGTTGCTATTTTTTGCTAATTTATTTACAAACAAAATATTGCATTTTTTCGTCATTATTATTTATCTAATATCATTTAACCATCGACCTCTTAAGTTTTATACAAAACACTCAGCAAGCGATGTAGCGTGGCCAGTAAAAAGTTGGGCAAAGTTTCTTCGACATTTACAACAGTTAATATGATTTTTATTGTTGGTGGTATGTTGTCACGAAAAAATTGATGAACTATTCTACGAATTTGGCACCTGACACCTTCATCGTACTTCTTGTCACGAGAATTACCAACCTTTAGCTTCTTGGGCCTGCTCTTTGGAGATTGTAATCCAGCAGGTGATGAATATTCCTGTCGTATGCGAAACATAGTCTTTTCGCAAACACCACTCATTTCTGATACTTTCATAATTACATTTGATACAGAATCGTTGTTATCCTGATTAAGATGATAATTAATAATATTCATTAGTATCTGCTTCTCTGAAAGTTTCAGAGCTTTTCCATGTTTCCATTGAACAATTTCCTCCATTTTGCGGTAAAAATTCGGCGTCAAATATAACAATAGCCAACAACAGAAAATAACAATAATTGCCAACAGCAAATCACAACAACAGCCACCAACAAATAATAACAATAACAAAACAGTAAGAGTATATCCAAGATGGTACAAATAATCGTAACTCGAATATGTTTACGCGCTCCGAAGAACAAATAAAGACTAATTAAGGCCCTGGATGTATTAAACATTTAAACATTTTCTGTACAAGAATTACTCTAATTGCTTCTTAATTACTGAATAACTTAGAAGAAAGTATTTGAAAAACATTGAAACAAATGTTTATTTAATGCACATTTTATTATACTACTGCTACTAATAAAAAACAAAAGTTGGTAAGTTACTATTAAAAACAAATAATGTATAGTATTATGTAAAATTATTAGCAAACGATATTTGTAAATTACATAAAACTGTACGTGAGGACTTGTTGAGAACTCCTGGTTTGTTCCGTTTATTTTGAAATATAGACAATAGAGAACGCCATCGCTCACTACATAAAACTGGCAACGTCTTGGCAAAATTCCGATAAAGTTAGCATTGCATATCTTCCCTGTACAGTAACTTTGAGACAAAGTATAGACGTGCACTACTTGCTACTTGGCATGCCAGTTTGGTGGGCGCTCTCCCTTAGAAGCTTTTTTCAGTTTACTATTGTGAGCAAGTCTATCCCAGATTTCTCGTTAGCTCTAACGTTTATGTTTTTAATATATTTAGTTTAGGATTTAGGATCTAGATTAAAAAAGGAATACTAAACCAAGATAAAGAACAGAGTGGGAAAGCGGGAATAATTTTCTAATGCTGTTAATATAAAACCATCGAGCAAAAAGCTCGATGTATAAAACTAAAACGGACATATTTCCACCGACCAATACCTTTTATCTGTGCCGTTAAGTTGAGACAACTGGATTCCATTTCAAATTCTTTGAATAAATTGTAATAATAAATAATAATTATTAAGAAATTACTTATATTATAAGCTTTCATACTCTAACGAGTACGTCATCTTATTTAAAAAACAAAATTAAGTTTTGTAAGTTAGTGTAAATAAAAGTACTTACTAAGATACCAACGTGGAAATTTTAAAGGAATATGAGGCTTATGAAATCCAACCGCTAGAAAATACGGTTTGTTACCAGTAATCTGATCTTTATATTTTAGAAATCGAAGGGCTTCTGCAAATGATTCCATATCTGGTAGAGTCCCGCCTGGTTGGTAAGTTGGTATTACTGGGCAAATTAGATTCATGTGGCGCACTCCATCTTTACCAATACATACTTTGGCGTTAATATAAGCCTCGGTTTTGGGATGAAATGTTTTCGTACTCCAGCTGTGTGGAAAATCGTCGGTAAAATTGGATGACTTTCCTGGATGAAAAATTTTTCCGACTGAATGAGTATAATATCCATTTTCTTTAAAATGTTGAGGTAGTGTAGTAAAATTTCCAACAGTATGTCTCCAGTAACTATAAAAATCGTATAGATGAAGGCTGTCCGGCCTTCTACTGGTTAAGAGAGAATTTCTGCTTGGTGCACATAAAGCTTGCTAAAATCATAATGAAACTTATTATTACAAAAAATAAAAATAATCATAGCACATTCAATCATAGCCAAACATGTCCTCAGGCAGCGACAATCGTGGATAACAAACGAAGTACATCTGACTGAGAGAAGACGCTTGGTAAAAACAAAAACGTCAACATATAAAGAACTTAATAGACAAATTGGAAAACAAATAATATGTTGAAAAACAGAGAACTATCTGATTTTCAAGTAATAACATCGAAGATCGATGTACCAAAGTAGTATATGGCCCCATACCAAAAACTCAGCATAGAACAATTGGTATAATTGGTAAACCACAAGCTATTCTATTCAGAAGGAGATTTACCTTCAAAAAGTCAAACTAGCAAAAGTATGCAGATATGCTAGTTTCTGAGGTGCTACGTCTTGAGCCAAAAGTAGGGAACTACGAAAAATTTGTATAGTTACTTAAAAATGTGTCCAGAAAAGCTATCTCCAAAGGATGTAGACAAAAATATGTTCCCGGGATGTCCAGCGAGTCCAAAGAACTAATGAGAACATACAAAACCCTCTATTCCACTGACCCTTTTAGCGAGGAAACGGTTGACTGCGGAGCAATACTACTCCAACAGCTAATCCAAGCCAGATAGGAAAAGTGGATTGAGACTCTGGAAAAAAACGGACACGGCACATAGTAGCAAAATAGCACCTTGTAAAAAAACTTGGCGGTGATCCAAAAAAACATAAACCACCTTGCAAGGTTACAGCAAAACAAGTCGCTAGAAACTCCTTCTACACTAAAAGAACTCCACGACGGTATGAACAGGTTAAAAAACGGGAAACCTGCAGGTGTGGATGATATATGCAATGAACAAATAAAGCATTTAGGCCAAGGAGAAAAAAACTGGATCTTGCAACTTTAAAACACATGGTGCTGCAAAGCTTGCGAAATTACAAAAGCATGGAGGAAATCTAAAGTAATAGCCTTGTTTAAACCAGGAAAGGACTCAGAAAATCCCAGTAGCTACAGACCTATTTCGCTGTTGTATCACTTTTTCAAACTATACGAGAGACTCATACTCGCCAGAATAGAAAAAAATGTCGACAAACACCTCATGCAAGAAAAATTTACAGGAAGAAGATTTCTAAATGAAACTTAAAGACAGGGAATTACCTACACATGAAGGTCAAAGTGGTTGGTCTATGGAAACCTACACATTTATCTGTAATGACAAATGAAAACAACGTAAAAAATATTGAGACCATGAAAAACAAAAACAAATATGGGAAAATATTTCAAAGATATATTTGATGATTACAGAAAAGAAGAACAGCCACACATAGTCAAAAATCATGAAATGACTATACTTACTTCTAAAAGAAGATAAGCAAGCTTTTTTTAGAAACAAAAAGTCACAAATCACCTGGAGAAGACTTAATATCACTTTAAAAATCAAAGTGTAAATGCTATAAAAAATTAACATAATTATTTAATAGCATGTAATTATGAAAAATTATATTTTTCATGAACCCTCGATAAATTATATTCCCCGCCCTTGGTTAGCTAATAAATTTTTGTTTGTGTAGCTATATTGTATAAAAAAACAAATTTATAATTTTTTTATTGTAGTAATTTAATTATTATCGAGAAACTTTAATTTTTAGACAATACGATGTTAAATAACGAATATAGAGCTTATATTCGTTGATATTAGGCATAAACACTTACCTGGGCAAATGCGTTTTTAAATATAAAACTATTGGCCGCAAACTTATCGATATGTGGTGTATAAGCCTCTTTATCCCCATAAGATTTCAAACTAGGTCTTAAGTCATCCGCCACAATAAACAATACATTGGGTCTCTTTGAAAACGCAGTACTTACAATAAAAGTAAAAAATACCAGTGAATGTTTTAACATTTTGTTGCGTGTTCAATACCAGACATATAGCGTAATAGTAAATTTAGGCAATCAATTACCTGTTAATTTAAATCAATTGCAGTTTTATGTACCTATCTCCAAATATTATCATGATTCTAAGGTGTTCTAAACTAGAATTAGTGGAGACTAAACTACATACATATATGGTGTGTTATTAGTATTGCCTATTTTTAGAATAGTAATTTAATTAAGTTTGGTTTGAAGTTTATTTGGTATTTATAGCTTATGCCGCTTATTCCGATATTTCCAAAATTTATCGGTTACACAAATGACGTTATAAAATACATCATTGGGTTCTCGATGATTGGGTTACACACTTTCACTTATTTCATGTTTACAAATTCAATAATCAATTTAACCAAAGAATATAGACGCTTAATTTAACGGATGTCGGTTTTCTTTACAGTCCCATTTTCAAGATTTTTAATGACGTTTCAAATTTTGGGGGTTATGTTTATAATTTTTAAATTTAGACTTGATTTAATCAATGTATGTTAAAAAATGTGTTTGATATAAAACAATAAATCTTCAAAATGAAAGTTGTATTTATGGTAGCAGAGAAGCCCTCACTAGCGGCTTCATTGGCAACTATCCTAAGCAATGGCAAAAACACAACACGCAAAGGTAAATAGGGAGAAAATCTGAGTTAAATTGTTTTATGATAAAATTAAATTTTTTAGGTTTTAATGGAGCTTGTTCTGTTCACGAATGGGTAGGGGTTTTCATGAATGCTCCCTCAAAATTTAAAATGACTTCTGTTTGTGGTCATGTTTTAGGAGTAGATTTTATAAGTAAATACAATAGTTGGGATAGAGTAGACCCTGTGGAGTTGTTTTCTTGTCCTATAGAAAAGAAGGAAGCAATGCCAAAGTTAAAAATGCCTGCATTTTTAGCTCAGGAATCTAAAGGATCAGACAATGTTGTTTTATGGCTTGATTGTGACAAAGAGGGGGAGAATATTTGCTTTGAAGTTATGGGAGCTATATCCAACAGTGTTATGGGAAATGTATTTTCCCCCACTGTTACTTATAGAGCTAGATTTTCTGCAATTACAGAAAAAGACATTAAAGCTGCTTTCAATAATTTAGGTGAGGTATTTATTATTCCTATATTAAAATTTTGTATTCAGCACAATACATTCTGCAACATTTTGTAGTTATCAACATTTTGTCCCCTTAGTAACAAATAAATGTATCTCGAATTTGGCCGTTTTTGAGAGAAGTGAATGCTTGATTAAAAAATATCTAGTTCTTTTTAATAACAAAGCCATGTAGATGTCTCAATATTTCTTAGTTAGGAATCTAAACCTTGGTGTATCTCTAATGGTAACACATTTTCATCATGAGTGATACTTGTGGTGGCCAAAACTGGAATGTCTTTTTAGCAGTGACTCTTCTTTATGCCATACAGGTATTGGATATTCCTGAAATTGAACAGTGGTAGGAATGGCATAAAAACAATCCAAATACAAAGTAATAGAGATGAATCAAGCTGTTTTTTTATGCAGCTTTGAAAAAAGAAATTATTAAAAACAAACAATTTGACACTGATGGTAACAAGGTTAACTGGCTTAAAATAACCATACTAAAATATATTAAACACGATCCAAATCATATTTATTTCAAATATGACAAGACCTGCATTAAATTCAAAAGAATCAAACTCATAAGACAGATGACAAAGGGAATTACCAATTATAATAATTTAGACTTCAACAGGTATATACTCATCCTATGAAAGTGGCTGCTGAAAAATTGGAAGATTTAAAGTACCTTTGCGATCAAGGTGTAATACCACCTCAGTATCATAGTTTCTATGAAGAGCTGAATAGTGGTATACACACAGTGATGCTGGATTCAGACACCTCAGACAATGAATAAACATTGATTAATATTATGCATAATTAATTTTAAATTTTAGTATATATTTGTATATACTATATGTATTTCTTTAGTTTTTGTATTTTTATAAATAAATAACACCAGTCTATTACCTAACGTAAGTTAGTTTAAAAAAGTCAAGTAATACATTAATAACACATAAACATATCTCAACATTAACACAAAAATCATTTTTTTACTGTATACAAAAACATTCAAGACTCCATTCGCTTATACAGTTTTTTGATTGTAAATAATGAATAAAAACTATTGTAGAGTAATAATTTATGAATATTTAAAATCAACAGTAATATCTCTTGTAAAACCAAACTAAAAGGTGTTTATCTGTATTTCTCTATAATCAATAATATCGAGATATGTTTATTTGTTAGTCAGGGGACGATTTATAAATCAATTAGTTGTTCTGTTGCTCTTTATTGTTTATAACACTATTCATTACTCATCATTATCTGTTATATTCCAGGTAAGGTTATGGTTTGCTTTCAAATTGTACTTTTCTAGGCTACCAATTGCACCTACATAACACTAATGAATATAGACACTCAAAGAAAGTTACTGCTTAACACCAATGAATATAGATGCTAACAGAGGATTACAGCTCATAGAGATGATGTATTATATTTCAAATGTAAATAAGCATGGTTTGGAAGTTGGTTGATAGAGGTGCTGATAGTAAAATTGTTTGCACAGTTCATACAAACGTTTGGAAATCACTGTAAAAACAATATTTGGTTTAGTTGTAAAGCATTTAGCTATTATTCTTATGGAACTAATATCAAAACCCAGATCATAAACCTTTTTTTACTTTTTGTTATACTGTTTTATTATATTACATTCTATGTAGCATAAAAATAGTGTAATAGAAAAATAAAATGATAGGGAAAAAAGAGTTACACATTCTAGGTTTTGCTCCCAGGTCCATAAGAATATTAGCAGTATAACATATACTGCAGAAAGCATGGTGATTAAGATTTGAATTCAATTTCGCCAGGTAGAAATCATATGATTTCTCTTTTTGTTCTTAGATGGTGTAGTTAAGTCTGTATATAGTTATTTTTGATAACTATGGTCTATGACGGGAATAGATTTTGTTTCGATACGGAGTAGTGGCTATACAGTTCTGAGGAGACCTAAAAAGGTTGAAATACGTATAAGTGGCTGGTTGCTGCTCTGTATCAAATCAAAATCTAGTACTGTCATTATGTTTTATTTCTCTACTCCGTTTGGAGAACCAGAAATTGAATTCACTACGAATTTTGACCATGATGAATGGCATTTGGAATGCAATCTTAGATTCCCTTGCCGATTTATTCATCAAGCTGTTTGCCAGTTTTAGAAAGCATGGTGGTTAAGATTTGAATTAGATTTCGCCAGGTAGAGCAGCAAGTTCTAAAATAAAAATAGCCATTATGATTGCCAACCTCCATAGGGAGACGGCACTCTAAGAAGAAGGTAGAAATCATATGATTTCTCTTTTTATTAGCAGTATACTTTACCACTCAACTAAATTGTGTTTGTATAATAATTGAGAGAAGTTTATATAAATTATGCACACAATTTCAATATCACTGCCTCATACCAGATTACAAACCTTCTTTATTTACATTCTAACACTGTCTGAACCGAGAGATGTTTTTTTGTTAAGAATTTTCCTTCTATGAGCATCTATATTTATTTACAATCATTCAATCTTCATTTATCTACTGCTGGACATAGATCTTCCTCATAATTTTCAATTTTGTACCTTGTACATCCAGTTTTTCTGGCAAAGTTTTAAATTGTCAGTCCATTGTGTTTGTGGATGCCTCTACCCTGGTAGGCATCATATCTTTCCTCATTCCAGTATCTACTTTGTTCATCTGTTATCTACCATTCAAGTACTGCAACCTGCCCAGATATTTTTTTTTTCATTTTCATTACTTCTATAAATAATAAGTAAACAGAAACTATCTCTGTTATTCTTTAGCTATCACAAACTCGTTTAATGATTGATTTGCTATCTGTATTGCCCCTTTTATTGTTTCTATTGAATTATATACCTACCTCTATTTCAATGACTGCATTGACAGATTATTTTTTTGGAAACATAGCTTTCTTATCGCAGGCTATGGACAGAATGTGTTGAACAGTATCAGCGGTATGAAAAAATGAAAATGACTGAAACCTAATGAAACACCAGATCGTGCGACCACACACTCAGTCTCAGACTAGTAAAGGCAGTCTCATGCATGTTAAAATAAGATAAATTAAATTAAAAACCATCGCCCCATGCATAGATGATAAGAAAACTGTGCTTCTCCTACAATCCCAGAGTGCCACATTCCATTTATCTACTTAATGGTTGAATGTAGCTTTTATTATTATGAAGGTTCTATTCTTCCCTAAAATAATCGCTTTTTTGAAAAGACAATAATAAAAGTTACAAAAAGAATCCATATTTTTATTAAAATTTGCAGACAGATATAATTTTATATACAACATATACTTAAATGATTTTAAATTTTTAAGAAGTATTTTTCAAAATTGTCATAAAATAGTTTAAATCTAGAATTTTCGATTATGTTTAAACTAATGACAATTTGATCAAGATAATAGAGACCAACAAATAACATTGTGGTTTTAAAGGCACATCTGTGGTGACTACAAAAGCAAACTTTTTATGGCATAATATAATTTCTTTAGATGATAGTTGATACAACTATTTTAATTGAATACTCTAATTTCATACAAAAAATTTATGTTGCCATCAAGAATCTTATATTATTTTTGGTGTTTATCATAGGTCATCCAAATGAAAATGAAGCCAGAAGTGTTGATGCAAGACAGGAATTGGATTTGAGAATTGGTTGTGCCTTCACAAGATTTCAAACAAAATTTTTCCAAGGGCGTTATGGCGATTTAGATTCCACTTTAATATCGTATGGTCCTTGTCAAACACCAACACTTGGATTTTGTGTACAGCGCCATGATGCAATTCAAACTTTCAAACCAGAGACATATTGGTGTTTGCAGGTCACAACAATAAGTAAAGATGGGCAAGAGATGTATCTGGATTGGCATAGAGTCCGAAGCTTTGACAAAGAAGTTGCTAATTTATTCTTGCAATTGGTGAAGGATCAAAAAGAGGCAAAGTAAGAATTAATTTGGTTTATTATTTAATGGAATCCATAATATACATACTCTATATGGAATTTTTTCTCTAAAATTTTTATATTCTAAAAACTACCCTTAATAATGCAGCCATCTCAAATAATATTGGTTTACTACAATAAAATCTGCAGTAAATTCTTCAACTTCCAATTATACAATCATCCCAATCACAAAATCATCATCATTTTTGACTCACTCTATTACCTTTGTGGGTTTTTGTGTTTTCCAGTATTAGTTTCCTTTCATTTTTAGTTTTCACTTCACTTTTTTTTCCTCACTTGGTTCTTAAATCTCATTCTATGCTTTTCCTTCTTCTATCTGGCTCCATTTATACATGCATTAATCATCTTAATTCCCTTTCTAGTAATAATAGGCAGTAGAGCTCAACAGGATAGTGCCTGCACAAGATATACAACCTTTCAATCACCTTTTGGATCATGTATTGCAATCTGATACTAAACATGTGCTCATAGATAAAAATGTTTGCGATATTTTCCCATTGCTCCGTTTCCAATGCTTTTATCTTATTTTCATCCTTTTCTCTCATATTTTCACACAACAGACAAATGTAACAAATACGGTATATTATATAATATACTGCTTACAATATAGTAAACAGCATATAATATATTATAAGGAATATTCAAATATTATTTTCTAGTTAGAAGTAACTAGATACTTCTGGTTACTTCTAGCATACCGCTAAATAAGATAATGAAAACTTTATAGAATTATGACGTAGTGAAATCAGTTGTTACTTTTAGTGGTGATTCTTGTCAAGTACATGTTAAGTGAGAAGCAAATGCATAGGATATAAGTAAAGGGTTTTTCTACAATTTGTATTCATCATACTTATACACCTAGATTCTTATTGATAATAAGATCATTCAATTACTCTTGAAGTCCTTATTCCTGTGCGTGAATATAATTTAGGTTTTCATCCTCTATTAAATAGCAAATAGGAGATGCATGAATATCATCTCTTATTTCTGTAGTATTTTGTGTAAGATTTGGTATACATACTTCAGGGCATGCAATCACTGTTTCATTTTCCCAAATATATATTCTATCACTATAAGCAATCTACTGAAGATCTGATATTTCTCTGAATGTATGTGAAGTGAACAACTCTGATAGCTGCTGCTGTCTATGTTCAATCCATTCGCCAAGCTTTTGTAGAATCCTTTCAAGTATCTAATAAAATATTCTGGACACTGTGGGCTGTGTACAATCAAATTTTTCAGCAATTCCGTTCTCGAATGCAGAATTTAAAAGTACACAAATTGTTCCTTACAAGTCATGTGATGACTGGGCTACTTTGAGCAGCAAAGAATAAGAAGTTATCGTGAACTAGACTCCTTTCTTTAGAAGAAAATCCTGTAGCTTCTGAGCAAGAAGCTACAGGATATTTGTATAAACATGAAAACGCATTTCTTAACCTTTTTGAAAATCAAAGTATTTTTATTAGGTTATGAAACAGTTTTCACAGACCAGAAGCATTGCATGAATTTCTGATGGATACTAACAATAGAGAATAATTAATCAAATTTACCATGGAAAAAGAAAACAACAATTCTCTTCCTTTCTTGAATGTGATAACTACAAAAGAGGATACAGGATATGCAACCAAAGTTTACAGAAAACCAACCCACCCCAACAGATTTTGAAATAACCACTAAAGCACAACTTAAACATCAAAAAAAGAATTATCAAATCATTAGATGTTAGAAAAAACCGGCTAACAAAGGTTTTGACAAAAAATGATACCCATCTTATTAATATTTTGTTAGTGTCCCTACTCTTTGTAAACAAAATTTTTCCTAAGGGTAGTGTAAAAACACCACCCACAGATTTTTTCAACTAAAAGCATTGCTATTGCCTACAAGATCGAGTCTAAGTAAGTTAGCTTTGAAAAAACCAGTGATATGGAAGAGATAAGATATGACACAAACGATGCTTTAAATTCATTCAAGTTATATTTACAATACCGTTGTGTAAATTTTTTCCACCAGAAGTTCGATTCTTTAATTTATTTTAGGTTAATATATTAATACTGTGGAGTTAGTGTGATACTAACAACTCTGACAAGAAGTACTATCCAATTTGTCGGAACCGAGTCCATCTACTTCACTGCATCTCATATCACCTCTCATCCTTATCACTGAAAACAAACATAATCAGTTAATTTAAAATAATCTTTTTTGAAAATGATTTCCGGAGTGGAAATCGAAATGTCAAACAGTAGTTAAAATGTAATTACAATCAATTATGGTTTGATCCCATATAAACATAGTATTTACCACAATATTTTTATAAATACGTCTATTGGCTTCAAGAAAATTGTTTAAAAGAAATATGTGTATACATTTCGTTATGATTTTATATAATAATCAAAGATGAACATGTTTTGTTATTCTTTGAATTTTAGCTTTGTTATATATGATTGCTTGTTTTAGAGTAATAAGTGTAACATCAAAGGAAAAGGTGAAGCCTCGTCCACAAGCATTAAATACTGTTGAATTAATGAGGGTAGCTAGTTCTGGATTGGGTATGGGACCCCATCATGCTATGCAGATTGCAGAAAAGTTGTACACTCAAGGGTATATAAGTTATCCTAGAACTGAAACTACAAAATACCCAGATAACTTTGATTTGTAGTAAGTATAAGATTTGTTCATTCATATATTATACCAGCCTTTTGTTGTCTATGACAAAAATAGCTTGTAAGCAGTGATATCGCGGCTTTTTGTATAGATATACAAGCTGTAAAGTAGTCTCCTGTTTTGCAAGCCAGTGCCATCTATTATAAGACAAAACTTTGTGTTCATAATTATACTGTCTACAATATGGCTACTAAATATGTAATCTGTTACCTCTGGGATGAAGCCCAAGGCGGTCTTGAAGCTAATATTTTCGCCACTCCCCTTAAAGAGTTCCTCTACAATTATCTTTCAGAAAATAAATCAACAAAAGGACTTATCATATACAGTGATAGTTGTGGATATCAAAACAAAAATTTACTACTTTCAAATTCTCTTCTTCAATTATGGAAAACAACGTTCATATTACTCAGAATTATCTCTACAAGTGTCATATTCAGATGGAAATCGACTCTGTTTATAGCACAATTGAAAGACGGCTTAAAAATCGTGATATTTATGTACCTTATGATTATATTGCTGTTTGCAAAGAAGCAAGAAGAGCACAGCCTTACAATGTTAAATACATGAACTTTTCTGACTTTAAAGACTTTAAAGAAATTCAATTTTATTCATCTATAAGAACTGGTCGTACAACTGGAGATCCCCTAGTTAGTGATGTTTGTTCTTTTAAGTACTCTTCATTTGGCCAAATATTCTACAAAATTAACCATACAGATAATTATGAATCGTTGCCAAAAAGATCGGCCCCTAAAAAAACAAAAAAAGTATTATTCCTCCATTAAACACGTCACAGCCAAAAATAAAAGAAAAACAAAAATATGACCACCTTCAAAGCTTGAAAATTGTTCTTGATAAACAATATTGGAATTGGGAATTTTAGTTTGACTGTTTTAAGTCCCTGTTTAAAGTTTACTATTCCTAAAATATTGATATGTTTCTTACACATTTCGGTTTATATTCAAATTGTTTTCAATACCTGAATAAAATTCTGTTCAATATTTTGTGATGTGCTGTTTACTCGTGTCTTAAGAGGCTACATCAGCGCGTCATCAAGACGGAAACCCCGTTCCTAGATTGCAGCTTTGATTTTAAATATGTTGACGAGATATTTGGCACACATATAAGTGATATAGTAAAGAATGGCGGTACGAAGCCCAATTTGAGAAATATGTTAGTAAGTGGAAATTACTCTATAACTAAATAAAATATTACAAAAACGAGATTAAAAAAATACTCTTTCTTCAAATAAACTTTTTTATCCCAAGCCTAGATTTTGTGTCACATTGGAATTACTAAAATCAACCAAAATCAATTAACTATAACAAGAAATCGAACTTAACTGAGTGAGTTGGCAACATAGAGAAATAGTCACTGCTATCACATTTGCACTTCATCTGTTTTCTGTGTAAGTGATAGCACGATTCTACTCTGTTATCTGTATCGATATCTGTTCATGCAGTAGTGTATTATTTTCAAGATATTGAAATTCGAGTTTTGATTCATGGTGAAGTAGTGTTTGTTTAAAATTAATTTATTATATTTGGGTACTAGAACTGAGTTGTCGAACTATTTAAAAAAAAATAGATTATTAATAATTGTGGGTTTTAAAAGTCTATTTTACTTAAAATATTTCAAATTCTAATGCGAGTATATAGTCTTAGGAGGATTTTTTATTCTAGAAATATAAGTATTTTTGAAAATGGGAAAAATTTCACAAGCGAAAATTAAAGTCACGCCTTCCAAGAAAAGGTCCAGTAAAAACCGTGCTAAAACGATTCGAAAATCGAAATTAGAACCACCACAAATTTTAATAATGTAAGTGTAAGTATAAGCAATTTAGGTACAGAAATCCTCTCTAAAGTACAAATGCCAATTTTTTCAGGTAGATATATATTCTTTGGCGACAATATTTCCGAACTTATATTTTTTATTTGCTATACGTCAGAATTGATGCTATGAATCAATCTGTAGTTCATTTATTATGGCTAAACTGTTTGATATATACGTTAAAACTTATAAGTAGAGCTCGGATCGAGCGAGCAATTTTCAGGGTAGTATTTCCTTTATAGGTACTTCATTTGTTTAGATGTATACATTATTAATTTAGGACAGGTGATATATTGCGACTGCTTGTGCATTCACTAAGCAAAAACCAAAGTATTCTCGACATTAAAGTGCAGCAGTTGAAGTGGCGGTATTTGGTCATTACAAATGGATAATCTACAGTCTATCAGACAACTACCTCGTGCATCTGGTCTATGAGCATCTAGTGTTTATCGAATTATAAAATACTATAAATTTTATCCTTATAAAATACGATTACTTCATCAATTAAACGAAGATAATCCTGATCATCGACGTCAAATTTGTGAAGAATTTAGTGGAATTATAAAAACAACCAACATCGATTGTACGTGTTTTTCCGACGAGTGTACTTTTATGTTAAACGGTGAAGACAATAGACATAATTGTCGTTATTTGAGTAACAGTAATCCTCATTTATTCATTGAGACACATACACAAACACCTCAGAAACTAAATGTATGGGTTGGAATTTTAGGGAATCACGTTATTGGACTATTAGTTTTTTAAGACAATCTCAACGGAACAGCTTATTTAAATTTGTTAGAAGACGTTATTGATCCGCTGCTCACTGACACATTGGAACCTGATGATAATCTTGTAAACGATAAAATGACTTCCTAACAGGACAAGGTATCTCCACATTATGATATACGCGTAAGACAATTTTTAAATCAACAACGTTTTCCAGGGCTTTGGATTGGCAGAAGGGGTCCAATGGAGTAGTCGGCCAGATAACCGGATCTTTTGCCTTTCACCTAATATCAAAAATATATGCCACTCCGTCTGTAGATCTTACCGACTTCCGACAAAGGATTGTGACAGAATGCCGATTATTCAGACCGGAGGTATTTGCAAATGTACGAAGGGGCTTTGAAAATATACTGTATTATTGTATGGAGGTCACAGGAGGTCATTTCGAACATTAAATTGGTTAATTTGATGAAATTTTATGTTTTTTGTTATTACTTATGTTCAACCAATAAATTAGCAAACATTATCTTCAGTTATTTCGTAAATTATTTAATTTTGACAAACTCTTGGTTTCTGAGTTTCTGGGACGGCCAAATTTTCGTTGAAACACACTGTATATTATTATTAAATTTATGATAGACTTACTAATTCTTAAGTTAAGATGTTTTATACTAATTTTCGTAAAAAAGGTTTGTTAAAATTGATATGCTTATGTTTATGATTTTTTATATAATAAATATTTTCATAAAATCGTTAAGCTTTTTGTGCGTTTCTTTATGCTTTTAAATCCGATCCGAACTCTAATTATCACAATATTGTGCCTTCGTCTTTGATAATGTCACATACTGTCGACGCACTGTTGCCAAAGATTCGCAGAACTTTTGAAAGACCTCCATTTCTCGAATTAATATTGATGACGCGCTGATGTAGCCTCTTAAGAATTAAAGTTGTTTATAGTATGTTTAGTATCCAAATAAATAAAAATTTGGTTCTTATAAGCCTACAGTGAGTTTTCAAAACCTTTTTAGTCAACCAATACAATCATTATGTTAACACAGTGAAATTTTACTTGAATAATCATTAAATAAGCTATGAACAGATACTCGTATCTAAAAAATACAAAACTAATTTTTTGTACAAGACCTCATATGAAACATGTTTTTACAAATTAATTCGCAAAACGAAATAAATGTCAAGTTTTACTATTATAACTAAATACAGTTCAAAAATTATGACGTAAAAACGTCTTATTTATCTTTATAACGTTTGTTGATCTCCTGGAAAATTTTCATATTTGCACATACGACGTCTTGCACTTTCACCGACGATATGGCAATTTACTTAGTCCGCATTGATTTTTATTTATTGTTTGTTGTATTATCCTCTAATTGGTGTTGTCTATATTTTTAGTGGTACTTTACAACAGCAACAGAACAGCAGTGAGTGGGGAGCGGAAGTTCAAGAAATTCTGAAAAGTGGAATCAATAGACCTAAATCAGGACATGATGCAGGTAAGTGGAAATTGAATTGAAGAATGAATTGAATTACTAAAACTCCATATTTATTTAATCTTTTCTCTGAAACTTTAATTTACACGCAAGAATGATGCCTCCTGGAAAAAGGGAAAATTCTTAAAAAAACAGTTATTAATATTTATTTAATATAAAAAACCATTCAATTTTTTTCGGTCTCTGGAAATAACACTGCTGATAAAGGAATCTCTTATTTCTTCTTTTGACGACCAATAGTCTCTGAAACTGGGCATTTTTTTCAGACTCATGAGCAAATTGACCCCCAAGAATATTTTTATTTCCCCACAGGTTGTTGACACAAAATTATTAATACCACCATTTTTTTGTATAACATACAAATTAGTTTGGAAAACAATGTGTTTAATGTGTGTCTCGGGTACATTTGGTCCAGTTTCTTCCCGAAAATCCTTGATTTGATTCAGGTGTGAAACGTCAAGTGTCCATTTTATGATCTCTTTTTGGAGTTTACTTTGACTTTGAGTCAGAGGCAAGTCGTCATCACTTTCCTCATTTTTGTTTTGTTGAGGAACAATATGTTCTGTGTTTCATTTACTGTTTTCTTAAACTTCCAGCTCATAGTTCATCACCTTCTAAAAATCTGAAGTCACTGATTATGAATAATGCCTCAAAGTGGAGTGAATTCATATTTTCCAAGTCTCATACGGACCAGTTTGTCTTTGATTCTAAAAAAAAAACTCTAAGTGCCTAGTGGTTACCAACCAAAACCGGCAATAAAACGTGCCGGTAAAAGATACACTTTTTATTGTTTTTATGATATTATTACGTATACTACCCACCTGGCATTTTTGAGACACTTTTTATAAGAAAACCACTCGAAATAAATTAATACACAAAGCAAGACACCGAATATGCCACTGTCAATGTACCATTCATGTAAATATGACGAATATAACTTTTTTACCCGGGATATGTATAAATCACTACTGAAATACAATTTTGAGATACATATGCAACCAATTATACAGAACGGATTTGGTGACAAACCAGCAGGCACATAAAGAAAAATTATTTAGTCTGTGGTTAGCAGCGGTAAGTACTAGTCCTCAAAGGGTTAAATGGCTCAATCACAAGTCATGCGCTCTTCTGCTCCGCAGAGAGGTGTCTGGATAACAGTTAAGTCCACTATCACTTTTTAAAAAATTTTATAGGAACTGGTTTTAAACGTTTAATATAATCAGTAGATCTTTAGACTATCTGACTGCTAGTATGTTAGTATGTAGCCGTTCTAAGCGTTATTTAGGAGGTACGTGTTGCGGTCGCCCAATAATTTTGCTGCTCCTTTACGTTAAATATTGTTATTTACTTACAAAGCTCAACAGGGCTAAACTAGACCACAACTATGACTAAAATTCTCCTCCTTCTCTCCTCCTTCATTCATTCCTGTTTGTTGCTATTTCTTCCCAATCATCAATTCCTTCTTTTCTGAGATCTTCTATTACCCTGTTAACCATGTTTGTCTGGGCTGCCCTTTCCTTCTTTTCGCGATTCGGCCCCGTTTTAGGATATTCTTTGGTATCCTCTTCCTTTCCATTCTCACCACGTCCCCGTCCATCTCCCTCTCTGTGCCTTTATGCAGCGACGGATGATTGGTTCGTTATACAGTTCCTCTAGCTCCCTGTTTGTTAATCGAACCCAACCTTCCACCGTGTTTTTGCCTCCATATATAGCTCTGAGCATTTTCATTTCTCACCTTTCCAATTTTTCCGTATGTGTTTATTTGTATTGTCCATACTTCACTACCATACTTTATTACTGTTTTATGTATCGTTAACTTTATTATTCTCGATACGTATTTGGATTTTATCAGTGGTCTGAGACATATTCATATCCTTTTACTTCCCTTTGCTAATCTGACATTCAGTTCCCATTCTTCCTGACCTTTCTCTTCTATGGAACACTCTCTCGAAATTATATTCCCTTGATTCATTATATATGAAAGAAAGCTGCCCCTCCTCTTTTTGCTCTGTATTTCTGAGTATCATGTACATTGACTTTTCCTGGTTTATTTTTAGGTCAAAATATTTCGCTTTATTTTCGAATCTTTTTATAATATTTCTTAATTCTTTTCTTATTTTCGTTAGAATAGTAAGATTATCAGCGAACTTCAGGTATTGATGAAGATGGATCCGGTGGTTTTAATCGACTATTTCTGTTTATTGTTTGCAATACCAAATTAAAAAGTACCGTGGATAACGGATCTTCTTTTCTAACACCTCTGTTCACTTCAAATTCATCAGATGATAATCCTCCTCACACTAAATGATTTCGTGTGCTATTCAGAGTCATTCTTACTAATCTAACCTGCGGGTATGCCCAAGGAGATCAGTGCTTTATACCTTTTATTCGTTCTTATTCTAGCCTATGCTTGTTTAAAATCTATGAACAACGCATGAAGAGTTACCTTATGTTCATAGCAGGTAGTCTGGGTTTCTTTTAGCGTAAAATCCTGATCTAGCATTGATCTTTTAACTAAAACCTGAATGACAATCACCTAATTTAACTACAGCAAATCTGTTGAGTCTCTCTCTTAGCATCCTGGCTGATACCTTGCAACTATTCAACAGAAAAACACTTCTGTAATTTTCACATGCCAATATATCCCCTTTTTGTATATGGGATATAATAAAGCTTTGATCCAATCTTTAGGCATATTTTTTTTCTTCCCATATCCTCTTGATAGGGCTATACATCCTTTTTGTAGTTCTTCCCCTCCATTCTTTAGCATTTCCGCAGCTATTTAATTTTCTCCCGGTCTTTTGTTATTTTTGAGCCCATTGATGATAATTTTAATCTCTCCTTCACTAGGCAGTTCTATTATTATGCCATCATCATCTTAAGGAAATATTCATTCTCAACTGTATTTTGTTCTTTCAGTAGTTCACTAAAATTCTCCCATACACCTATCACTAATTCTTTTTCACTTATATGTGTTCTATCTTTTTTCATGTATGAATTTTATTTCTGGTATCACTTTTCAATTTTTTTAAATTCTTGATAAAACGAACCTATTTCTTTTTTCTGAAATCTGTGTTCTATATCTTTTATAATTTTTGAAGTTATACTTCTATACGCACGGTCGGCGTTGGAAATTTGCATGAGAGTGAATCTGTGAAAACATTACATATGTAAGATAATGAGTAAGAGAGAGACAGAAGATGCCTTTGTCAAGATTCTAAAATGGATGGATGCGCAATGGGTGCAAGTATTTCTAGGTCATTGCTCAACTGGTTCTGGAAGACTAGAAGAATCTGTCATGAGTCATTTAGATTTTAA